CTCAGACCCATTCCTCATGTTAGGCCCTACCAGCCTTCCTCTCCTCTCCCGCTCGAATTTGCAGCCGCTAGAATTACGTGTATAAATACGTCAAGAAAACAGTGGCATGTAAGCTATATATACGCCGTAAAGCAGTCAAAGGGTTTAAAGGGCGGGGTTTGGGATATTGGTAGTTTGGAGGGATATGTTATACATCTTCATATACGCTTCTAAACTGTCATATCTGGGCGCCTCTACAAAGATCAGTGATTAGTACGAGTGGGTGAAAGTGATGAATGATGATGAAAGTATTTTCTTTTGGGGGATGTTCTTTTTCTTTTTGGGTCACCCTGCCGTCCGGTGGGAGACCGGCCGACTTGTTAAAAAAAAAAAAATGCATGAAAGAAGGGGGGAAGGTACCTAGCAATTGGCAGAGAGCATGTATAGTTCCTTTATATAAAGGGAAGGGGGACAAAAGAGACTGTAAAAATTATAGGGAAATAAGTTATTGAGTATACCCAAGTAAAGGGGGGGTCGTCCTCGAAAGGGTTGGAGAGAGGGGGTAAAGGAGGTTATGTGGGCAAGGGGCCTTGGACTTCCAGCAATCGTGCGTGAGTGGTTTAAAGAGTGAGATGGAGACGAATGGTAATTGGGACCCTGACGATTGTTGGAGTGTGAGGCAGGGTAATAATGTGTATTAGTGAAGGGATTCAGGGAAAACCGATATTTTCATATAGTGGACTTGAGGTCCTGGAAAGGGAAAGTACAATGCCTGCACTTTAAAGGAGGGGTGTTGGGAAATTGGGCAGTTTTGGAGGGATATGTTGTTATCTTATATTGTTTATGCTTCTAGCTTTGTATTCTGAGCCCACGTATCTGCTCTGTTGCAAAAACAATGATAATGTGCGAGTGTGGTGAAAGTGTTTTGACTGATTGATGAAAGTAATTTTCTTTTTGGGGTTATCTTTCTTTTTTTTTTTGGGTCGACCCCTGCCTCGTGGGAGAACGGCCGACTTGTTGAAAAAAAAAAACAAAAAAAAACAAGTAAAGTGTACAGATGCTTTGTTCATTTTCTTGTCACATGCTACTTTTGCATACAATGCACTATCTTCATGTTCTTTTATAATTCCTATTTTTTTTCATGTATGTTTACTAGAATGCTCAGCATCATTGCATTTTTCTCTTTCCACTCATATTCGCATACTTTATATAATAAAGAAAAAGAATTGTGTATACGTATGTACAGTGTAAGACTGCACAACTTCATTGCTTGGAGTCTGGAGCAATACTGATGTTCGCATCATGCTAGTCTGGTACATAACAGTAGTCCAATATCGGCGTGTAATGCAGTTCAATAAAATTTATATATTTATAAATTTAAACCATATTATTTGAAAACCGTACTGTTCAAAACCGTACTATACAAGGTATTACTGTATTGATTATGAATTTAGCAAGTAACATGATTAGCAAGAATTCCCACAAGGCCTACAACAAACTTGTCAAACTCAAGTGAATAGCACAAGATGGGGACCTAATAACTTTCAAAATCATGCCTGTTTTTTTTGGAAGTTGATAGATTTTAGAATTTAGAATACTGACATTGTATGGCAACAAAAAAACTCTGATGTTAAATGCCCGGTACTATGGAATGCATATACGAAGCATTTTTAAGAAACTGCATAAAATTAATAATTCTTATTAACCTGCACATTTTAGTAACACAATTAAACATAGTAATAGGGAAGGTAGAGACCCAGAATCAAAGAAGTCACTTTTACCTTGAGCAAACATTTTAACAGATGCCCACTGAAAAGATCCTAACTACTAAGTATGATTATTACCTTTTATTTTGGGACTGAGCAAATGTTTAATTGCCTTGTTCCTCTTTTCGGTCATCCTCGATGTGATATAGTCAGCAGGGTCATCCCGTACAGGGACTCTCGGGAGGAATGGCTTGTAATTGGGAATTTATTTCAGGGAGAAGAGCACATCATCTGACATAATGAAACCCAAGGAGGGTAAGCTTGGCAGCTTGCTTGGGTTGCTCCAGATAAAACTTTGGGCTATGGGATAAAAGAACTTCAAATTATAATATACAATAGCACATAAAGGATTTGTTGTTTACTATGGTTAATATAAAAGGCATGAAAAAAAGCACAAAATAATAGAGCCCGAGGTATTAGGCAAACAAGTACAGTAGTGCCCCCCCACTTATAATATACGGCAGGTTAGGTTCCAGGCTACCGATTGGAAAGCAACATTGCCGGAAAGCAGAATGCCCGATTTTTTCTTTCCCACTTATAAATCATATAAATGCCAGATAACAAGCTCACACTAACACATATTAAGTTAGCAATAGAACTAGGTATTAAAAACAATATAAATTAAAATACACACAACAGAGTAATTTTAGGGTGTTTCGGGAAGAGGGGTGGATTAATTTTGGGTAATCAAATTCAAAATGGGAACTGACAACAGTTTACTGGTGCATGGGAGATTCTAAAGAAAAATTGCAAAAGGGTTAGTGGATGAGTTTGGGAATGTGTTTAAAGGAGAAAGTTAGAAAGTGAACATAGAAAAGAGTAAGTGAAGGAGGGTATCAAATGATTTAGATAAAGAAAAATTGGGATATCAAATTGGAGGGAGGAGGAGTATGGAAGAATTGAATGTTTTCAGATACTTGGGGGAGTTGACTGTGGCGGATGGATTTATGAAGGATGAGTTAATCCATAGAATTGATGAGGGAAAAAAGGTAGTGGTGGTGCGTTGAGGTATAGTGGGTCAAAAAAACGTTATCTAAGGAGGCAAAGAAGGGAATGTATGAAAGTATAGTAGTACCAAACTCTTATATGGGTGTGAAGCGTGGGTGGAAAATGCAAGCAGCAAGGAAGGTTGGAGGCAGGTGGAGATGTCCTGTTTAAGGGCAAATGTGTGGTGTAAAATATTATGCAAGAAAATTCGGAGTGTGGAAATTAGGAAAAGGTGTGGAAGTTTAATAAAAGTATAGTCATGGGCAGAAGAGGGGTTGTTGAGGTGGTTGGTCATTTAGAGAGAATGGACAAAAGCAGAATGACATGGAAAGCATATAACACTATAGGGAAGGAAGGCGGGGTAGGGGACGTCCTCGAAAGGGTTGGAGAGAGGGGGTAAAGGAGGTTTTGTGGGCAAGGGGGCTTGGACCTTCCAGCAAGCGTGCATGAGCGTGTTAGATAGCAGAGTGAATGGAGGAGAATAGGGTACTTTGGACTTTGACGTTCTGTTGGAGGTGTGAGCAGGGTAATATTTTAGTGAAGGATTTAGGGAAACCGGTTATTTTCATATAGTCGGACTGGATTGGAATGGGAATACAATGCCTGCACTTTAAAGGGAGGGTTTGGATATTGGCAGTTGAGAGGGACATGTTTGTGTATCTTTATATTGTGTTATGCTTCATAAACTTTGTATTTCTGACACACTCTGCAAAAACAGTGATAATGTGCGAGTGTGGTGAAAGTGTTGAATGATGATGAAAGTATTTTCTTTTTGGGGATTTTCTTTCTTTTTTGGGTCACCCTGCCTCGGTGGGAGACGGCCGACTTGTTGAGAGAAAAAAAAAAAAACACAGAGTACATACACTCATTACTTACCTTAATTAAAATATTCGTAGTCTTAATGTAGGGCGAGAGGCAAGTAGTATTTATTGTAAGAAGTCAGATATGGGAGGTATGGTAGCCAGCCAGGGCACCCCACCCATACGTAATATACTACGATATTTAAAGCACTTCAGAGTGATAAAATGCATATACAGTTATTCATTACTTACTTTAAAATATTTGTAGTCTTAATGTGAGGTGAGTAAATGAGGTAAAATGAATAAACAAGAGAGAGAACAAGTAAATGAGAGAGGAGACAGACGCTGAGTTATGTAAACAAGCAAACGAATGCGTCTGGTTTTGGTTCATACACGTAACATCTCATATTTATGTTAATTTAGTCTACTGTGGGGTGTATTTATCATGTTTGTGTGTTACATAGAGTGTTTATTACATAATATTGAGGAAAAAATATCATCCATGGAGTTACGAAAATGTTTATATTAGCGTAATATATGACATTTAATGCGCCTCAGAGTGATTATTATTGTGTATTATCATTAAAATGGTGTCCTCAAGACTATTACACACTTAGTGATTTTAATGTGTACCTGCATGCCAGCACAGTGTGTAAGTTTATTTAGGTACAGGTACACATAACTATCAGAGTATGTATATAAAATATGAAATAACTTTAAACACTTGAAATTTTGGGGAAGTTTTTTTCAGACATAATGGAGAGACGTGGGGCTCACGGAGAATGTAAACAAACCGTGTGGAGTGTGGTGACCATATTAGAAAGTCAGGTGGGGGAGCTGTATAGCAAGTTTTGGTCATAATTTGAAATGTCTGTATTAGCCAAATGCCGTAAGGTGAAACATCATAAAACAGGGGCCTACTGTACATATAAAAAAAGAATGTGGTAAAAACAAAGTAAGAAAAAAAAATTGCAAGAATTATGAGAAAAGGATGTGGTACTATTGGTATTGGAAATATGAGAAGCAAGAGAGTAACAACTACGATATTACCCATGAGCTGTGGAATTGTGAACTAAAAACAATGTGCTGCATATAATCAAAATTAAAACAGAATAGGCTAGAAGACGCAATGCTTTCACCCAAGGAACGTCAATCATGGCCACATAGCCCTCAGAGAAGACCGGGTAAAACAATCGTCAGAAAAAAGATGGACTGACATAATACTGGTAGGTATTTTAATCTGCTATAGCTTCTAAAAAAAAGGACAATGATATCAAACTGTGTGCCCAATGAAGTGTGCTTTCCAACCTTTGTCCATCAACTTTAGCAGGGCTCTGCTGGGAGTGCTTATATAAACGCTAAACCAATGTTAAATGGTGTTAACAATATACTCATACTTTTTTTTGGTGTCTCGGTAGTCCTGCTGTCCATCTGACTGTAATCTTTACTATTTTATATTTCGCATTACTTGTTTGACAGGCTGATCCCTCGTCTGAACTTTCTTTTTCCTTCTCTGTATCTTTTTTCTTTTTCTTTTTTTTTCTCTTCACTGGAGAATCAAGACCTGTAGTGAAATAACATTATTACTGTAAGCAAAAGATCTCAGTGTGGGGTACAAAATCTCAATAACGTGTACAAAATCCCCTCACTGACAATAAGTGTTGCATATGAACTTTCCACAAACAGTTTCATCATGATAACAAACCTCTCATCTAAATTATATACAAGATACTATGCACACAAATACAGTGGACCTCCAGTTTTCGTTTGGTGCTGAAATTGTACAATTCGGATTTTGAGCACTTTTTCGGCGAAATTATCCCCGGGTTTTGTACATCTGCTCGGAAATCGTTTGTATCAGACATGTCCACCTGCCCAGGACGCCGCTTCTTATGCATGCCCAACTCAGTCTGCCTCTGTCTCTCGTTAAGTTAGCAATACTCCGAACGTTCATCCATTGTTATCTGTGCTTGTTTATTGATTGCGACTGTGAAATAAGCCACCATGGGGCCAAAGAAAGTTCAGATTGCCAGCCCTTTGGTAAAGGCGGCGAGAAACACAATAGAATTCAAGAAAGAACTTGTAGAACGAGTTGCAAAGTTATGTAGAGGGTGGTAGTGATGGTGGTAGAAGATGGTGGTAGTGATGGTGGTAGTAGGGTGAGTAGTGATGGAGGTAAGAAGAGGTTGTAGTGATTGTGTGTCTAGGGGTGGGTAGTGATGGTGGTAGAGGGTGGTAGTGATGGTGTAGAAGGGTGGTAGTGATGGCAAACAAACAACGATGTTAGAAGTATATTGTTGGGCGTGGATCAACCAAAAACAGTTAACCCGGGAGATTAGTGCAGTGGAGAGCTCTAATTTGCAAGAAGGCAGGCATTTGCATGCTGAACTCAAGAGAATATGGCCAACAAGAGTCTTCAAATAAAGGTAAAACTGATTTAAATGTTTCATGTTATCCATTAAAATTATGCTTTATATATTTATTTCTCATTTTTTCTTTATGTAAAACTATAGTTATATTCTCTATAAAAATAATATTTTTTGTTAATATTTTTTTGGGTGTCTGGAACGGATAATTGGATTATATTATTTTTTATGGGAAATATTACTCGGTTTTTCGTCCATTTCGGATTTTAGCTACTTTCTATGAATGGATAAGGATGAAAAACTGGGGTAATTAACTGTATTAAAAATGGTTCCACAACACGTTCAGATTAAATATTTAACTTTAATACAGCATCTTTAATGATGGTTGACTCATTTAAATTAAAACAAAAAATATGCATGTACATAACTGAAGAAAATACTATTTGTGATTAAAAGGATTGCTGTTTAAACCTTAACATAAAGACAAGTTTCAATGCAGTTTAATTATATTAATTTATCTGGATATAAGCAAACAGTAACATCTTATAATACTGTAAACACTGTATTAAAAATTATTGTTGGAAGGTTACATTAATTCAAAAGTACATTAAATACTGTACAAAGATTAGATTACCTTAGCTTCTTTATTGTCACATGATACGAAGCATGTACAGGGGTGGGTGATATTTAAGGGTTTCATGCATTTTGGGCAAACTTAAGTCGCCTGTCTTACTTAAGACTAATAAGGCAATAACAATTGCTCATTTATACAGTCTCTAGGTGGTTGTAACAATAAATTTAGGAATTACTGTGAATTGAAGAGAATTGAATACGTACATATTAATACACGCTATATAACATTTGTCAAGTTTAATTGTTTGAAGGATTACTGGTTGTCTTATGATTACAGGTAATGACGATTCTGGCATGTTAACGTATTTTTAACCCTTTCAGGGTTTCTGACGTACTAGTACGGCTTACGCACCAGTGTTTTTGACGTACGTACTAGTACGCCTAAATTCTAGCGCCCTCAACTCTAGTGAGAGAAAGCTGGTAGGCCTACACATGAAAGAAAGGGTCTATGTGGTCAGTGTGCACAGTATAAAAAAAATCCTGCCGCAACATCCATTGCGTAATTAGAAAAAAAAAAACTGACAGTGTTTTTGGTTTAAAACAAATCACTACGCACCAATACACATCAAACTAGCGAGTCTAATATTCTTTCGCACAAGTGCGCTGATATTATTTTATAACCGGGGGTGGGGTGTATCTACACTAGTTTAGTAGTCTGCATAACAGTAAATCTCCTATTTTTTGTGAGAATAAAAATTCAAAGTGGAAAGCAAAAGAATGTAAGAGGGGCGTGGGGATGTGACTAATAAACAGAGGAAATGTTATTTTAGTGCGCCAGGAATGTCTTTTCTTGTTTATTCTTGGTACCCTATTCGGAAATTGGCATCTTTTGAAATTATGTGTGAATTGGCAAAATTGCTAAATTCTGAACCACTTTATTGGATAGTTGAAATGTTAAATTGGTGGTTTCTTGTACACAATCAAATAGAAAAAATGAAGTTCAAAGCGAAATAGTCCGACAAAAAAAATCATAACTAATACACTGGAATTGGCCGAAAATAGGACTCAGAGTGGGCAAAATCGCCAATGCGTAAACATCGTCGAGACCGCTAACTTCACGAGAGCATAATTCCGCAAGTTTTCCATCAAATTTCATACTTTTGGTGTCATTATGATTGGGAAAAGATTCTCTATCTTTTCAAAAAAAATTTTATTTTTCCAAAAAATTTTCGACCCTAAGAACAAGTTTTGGAGAGGGCCTCTCGACCCTGAAAGGGTTAACACATTCACTGTATTTAATGGCTGTGAGGATTACAGACAATGAGAATAAGAATATATTGTTTTCCATATGCTTGTGGCACTGAGAATATGAATATATAGTTTTATTATATTTAGCTGTTGTTGGGATATGTTATTGAAAGAAGGTGTAGATTTAGGTCTTTGGAGAGTGGGAGAGGGCAGTATTGTTTGGCAGTGGACTGTATTCTTCATACTGCAGCATTTTGTTGAGTTATTACTGGCTTGAGGTGATGTGCTGGTGTGGATCCCCAGGCACAAATAGCATAGGTGGGGTAGAGGCAGATCAGTGAATAGTACAATGTAAGTAGTGCTGTTTGTGTACAACAATAAAGCGAAATCTTGGAGAGGTGCCAAATGTTTTGGACACTCCTTTTTTTTTTTTTTTTTTTTTTTTTTGTATTTGGGTGGGGATGTGGTTGATAAATTTCAAGTTTCTGTCAAGGTGCAAACCCAGAAATTTTCCCTCATTATTTTTAGTAATAAATGTATTGTTAATCATAATGTTTAGCTGGACATTATTTACTCTGCTCCCAAACATAATGTAGAAGGTTTAGTCAATGTTATATGTGAGTTAACTGGCAGTCATCCAGACTGATATTTTTAAGAGCTCTTCATTAACAATGTTGTTCAGTGATGCTAGATTTGGGTGGGGGATGACAAAAGTTGTCTTGTGAGCAAAGAAAATAGGTCTAAGTTGCTGTGATACCTTAGGAAGAGAACTGATGTACAGTGGACCCCCGGTTAACGATTTTAATCCGTGCAAGAGGGCTCATCGTTATGCGAAATAATCGTTATGCGAATGAATTTTCCCCATAAGAAATAATGGAAATCAAATTAATCCGTGCAAGACGCCCAAAAGTATGAAAAAAAATTTTTTTTACCACATGAAATGTTAATTTTAATACACACAAACTGAAAAAGGCATGCACAATTAAATGACACTTACTTTTATTGAAGATCTGGTGATGATTGATGGGATGGGAGGAGGGGAGAGCATTATCTTCTTACTGTTTAGAAGGGGAATCCCCTTCCATTACGACTTGAGGTAGCAAGTCCTTTTCCGGGGTTACTTCCCTTCTTCTTTTAATGCCACTAGGACCAGCTTGAGTCACTGGACCTCTGTCGCACAACAAATCTGTCCATAGAGCTCTGTACCTCCCGTTCCTTTACGATTTGTCTAAAATGGGCCACAACATTGTCATTGAAATAGTCACCAGCACGGCTTGCAACAGCTGTGTCAGGGTGATTTTCATCTATAAAGGTTTGCAGTTCAACCCACTGTGCACACATTTCCTTAATCTTTGAAGTAGGCACAATGGATTCCACAACTGGCATAGGCTTCTCAGGGTTAGCCCCAAACCCTTCAAAATCTTTCTTAATTTCCATACTAATTCTCACCCTTTTTACCACAGGGTTGGCACTAGAAGCTTTCTTGGGGCCCATGGTCACTTATTTTCCAGAAACAGCACCGAAAATACTGTAATAATACGAAATATTCCGAGTGTATGCTTGGATGTTACCGCGGAGGCTGGCTGGTAAACAATGGGACGGAGCGGCACATGTGAGGCTGGCTGAGGGCACATTGGACACGTCTCGGACGAAAATCGGTATGCGGGTTTTTAATCGGTATGCGGGGCAAAAATTTTGCGATAAAAGTAATCGTTATGCGGAAAAATCGCTATGCGATGCCATCGTTATGCGGGGGTCCACTGTATAAGAAAAGTAGAAAGCCAAGGACACTTTCCTGTGGAATGCCAATGTCCAGAGGCCTTGTTGAAGAAGTTGTGTCCTTAATAGAGATGTACTGCTCTCTCTTAGTAAGCTAAGACTTTATATATACAAGTGCATGACCTCTGATACCATATTGATCAAGTTTGTAATGTAGGATGCTGTGGTCTACTGTATCAAAAGCTTTCCTTAGGTCAATAAAGAGTGCTAGTGAATATTCATTATTTTCAAGAGCTATGTAAAGTAGGTTTAGCATTTTTATAATTGGGTCTGTGCTTCTGTTTCACCTGAAGCCAAACTGGTAAGGGTTGAGAATACTTTGTGATGTTATAAAGGAGTATAATCTCTTATGAATTTCTCAAAGAAATTGGGAAGCAAAGGTAAGCTAAATACTGACCTATAACTGTTTACATCTGATGGGTCTTCACCTTTGTGTACTGAAGTAATCCCTGCTATTTTAACCCTTTGAGGGTCCGTCCCGTAGATCTACGGCTTTACGTTCAGGGTCCAAACCGTAGATCTACGTCATGAGCTCAGCTCACTCTGATAAACTGTGAGTGGTACATTTGGGCCTAGATATGAGAGAATACATCTATGT